TGTCATGGTTCTGCATATAGGCAGTCACTACTTGATGTTCCTCAATGTTTTCAGCTTGAGAAACTCCTAGCCATGTTTCAAGATATCCAACTCAAGGGTCTTCCTTCTCTTTGATACTTTTCTCTCATTCCCCCAGGCAGAGCTAAGTATCCAGAGCTTCTGTAACACACTACCTATATACATAACATACTTAACCCATTTTATCACCTTTTTTTGCAAAATACCCATATCTCGTATAAGACTGTGAGCTTGTCCAGGACAAGACTTTGTCTCTCTGCTTTCATTCCTGTAGTCCCTGGTACACAGCTGGTGTTCAGATATGCAGAACTAACAACACACTCACTGGTGGGCCTTGGGACAGGAAGTGATGGTTAATGAAGGGTCTGGTCACAAGAACAAAGGTAAGAGGGACAAGGAAGGAGATTGTACCAGAGTGGCATTCATGAAACCCTTTCTTTTTTTCCAACTTTTATTTAATAATTATAAATTTTCAGGGGCTGGTGCTGTGGCTCACTTGGCTAATCCTCCATCTGTGGCGCCAGCATCTCATATGGACACCAGGTTCTAGTCCTGGCTGCTCCTCTTCCAGTCTGGCTCTCTGCTGGGCCCAGGAGTGCAGTGGAGGAAGACCCAGGTGCTTGGGCACCTGCACCCGCGGGGGACACCAGGAGGAAGCACCTGGAACCTGGCTTCAGACTGGTGCAGTGCACCAGCTGTAGTGGCCATTTGGGGGGCGAACCAATGGAAGGAAGACCTTTCTCTCTGTTTCTCTCTCTTACTGTCTGTAACTCTACCTCTCAAATAAGTAAATAAATAAAGTCTATAAAAAATAAATAAATTTCCAAAGTACAACTTTTGGATTATAGCAGTTCTTCCCTCTGTAACCTCCCTCCCACCCGCAACCGTCCCATCTCCCAATCCCTCTCCCATCCCATTCTTCATCAAGATTCATTTTCAATTATATTTATATACAGAATATCAACTCAGTATATACTAAGTAAAGATTTCAACAGACTGCACCCACACAGACACACAAAGTGTAGAGTATTGTTTGAGTAGTAGTTTTACCATTAATTCACATGGTACAACACATTAAGGACAGAGAGATCCTACATGGGGAGTAGGTGCACAGTAACTCCCGCTGTTGATTTAACAATTGACACTCTTATTTATAATGTCAGTAATCACGTGAGGCACTTGTCTTGAGCTGCCAAGGCTATGGAAGCCTCTTGAGTTCACCGGATCCAATCTTATTTAGACAAGGCCATAGTCAAAGTGGAAGTTCTCTCCTCCCTTCAGAGAAAGGTACGTCCTTCTTTGATGGCCTGTTCATTCTGCTGGGATCTCATTCACAGAGATCTTTTATTTAGTTCCTCTTTTTTTTCTAGAATGTCTTGGCTTTCCATGCCTAAATCATTCTCATGGGCTTTTTAGCCAGATCCGAATGCCTTAAGGACTGATTCTGAGGCCAAAGTGCTGTTTAGGGTATTTGTCATTCTATGAGTCTGCTGTGTATCCTGCTTCCCATGTTGAAGCATTCTCCTCCTTTTTAAGTCTATCAGTTAGTGTTAGCAGACACTAGTCTTGTTTATGTGATGCCTTTGACATTTAATCCTATAATTATGATCAATTATGAACTGAAACTGATCACTTTGACTAGTGAGATGGCATTGGTTCATGACACCTTGATGGGATTGAATTGGAATCCCCCAGCACGTTTATAGCTCTACCATTAGGGGTAAGTCTGAGTGAGCAGGTGCCGAACTGTACATCTCCTCCTTCTCTTATTCCCACTCTCATATTTAACAGGGATCACTTTTGAGTTAATTTTAAATGCCTAAGAATAATTGTGTGTTAATTAAAGAGTTCAACCAATGATATTAAGTAGGACAAAAATACTAAAAGTAATGAAATAGTAAGTTGTTCCTTGAAAGTCAGGCAAGGGCTGATCAAGTCATTGTTTTTCATAGTGTCAGTTCACTTCAACAGGTTTCCTTTTAGCCCTTTCAATAGTCAGGCTTCTTAATGTACCATGTCTCATTTCTAAATAAGAACACAAAGAGGGAAAGCAAGAGTTTTATTTAATTACACCACATACTGTCTAATCCTCTTCAAGCTCTGTGAGGAAGGCACTGCTCATCCCCTTTTAAATACGAAACTGTATGAGGTGGGAACCTGCACTAGGCCATATATCAAGAACAATAAAGCCCCAGTTCAAAACCTGTTCTGTTTGCCCCAGAGCCATGTTCCTCCTGGGGTTGGAACCCTAGGTTCTAGCAGTTAGAGACGTGGGGTATGAGAGAGGGGTAGCTGGTGAAAACCGGTGGTCCTTTTCTTTGGGCTTACCTTCATTGGGTGCATCACCACAAGGACTTGTCCTGTGTCACTAAGGACACTTCATACTAACTCTGTGGCCTCATGCTGTGATTTGTTAACATAGGTCCTGTGTCCTGGTTCACACTAATGGTCATCTTAAGATTTACTTTGCTGTTCTAGTGTTTTAAGGTAAAATTTGGTTTACTGATCTGATATCTGTATTCCTTAATATATACCTGTATAGCAATAAAATTCCTCATGTGAAATTAGGCCTGTTAACATGGAAAACTCTAAGGATGTCGCCACTACTGGGAACACACTGAAGGAAATTAAATCATTATGTAACAGAGGGATGCACAAGCCTATGCTTATTGCAGCAAGATGCACAATAGCCAGGCTATGCAGTATGTATATGTATGTATGGTATACATAGACCATAACTTCGTAATTCACTTTTCAGTTGATCAGCATTTTGGTTCATTGAAATATGCCTGTTGAAGCCATTTTCCCATTTCTTGAGTGGGTGGTTTGTTTTTCTATTGCTGAGTTTCTTGAAAATATCTGGTAGTAAACCCTTTATCAGCTGCATACATTGCAGATTAAGTTCTACCATTCTGTTAGTTGCCGCTTCACTTTGTGGAGTAGTTTTTTTTTTTTTTTTTTTTTTGGTGTCCTCTTCATTAATCTTTTATAGTTCTCAGATATTGGACATCCTTGGTTAAATTTATTCCAACCTATTTTATTTTCTTTGTAGATATGTGAACGGGATTAGTCTTCGAAATCCTTTCTCAATCATGACCTTGTCTGTGTATACAAAAGCTGTTGATTTTCTATCCTGCTGCTGTACCAAACTCTACTCTGAGTTTTGATATTCTTTTAGTGGAGTCTTTTGGATCTCTATATACAGGAGAATAGAAAATGTCAACAGTGACCTCAGAGGCTACCTTTCTGTATTCTGTGTTAATGGGGTATGGAATGCATATAGTATCAAATTCTAGATAAACTCTAGTAGTTGGCCTTGATGTAGTATTTTCTTTACAGTGAGCTAGGTTTTACTTTTTTAAAAAGTCTTATTTATTTATTTGAAATTCAGAGTTACACACAGAGAGGATGAGAGGCAGAGGCAGAGTGTCAGAGAGAGAGAGAGGGAGAGGTTATCCATGTGCTGGTCCACTTTACAGTTGGCTGCAATGGCTGGCGCTGAGAGGATCCAGGGTGAGGAGCCAGGAGCCTCCCTGGGGTCTCCTGCATGGGAACAGGTCCCCAGGACTTGGGCCATCTTCGACTGCCTTCCCAGACCATAGCAGAGAACTGCATCAGAAGTGGACCAGCTGGGACTCGAACCGGCTTCATATGGGATGCTGGCACTGCAGGTGGTGGCTTGACCCGCTACCCCCCAGCGCCGGCCCCTCCCGGAAGCCGTTCACAGTGGGATCCAGCTGTCTGCTAACACGTCTGGGAAAGCAGAGGGAGACGGCCCAAGGGCTTAAGCCCCTGAACCCAGAATGGAGCACCAGAAAAAGTCCTTGGCTTCTTCTTTGGCCTGTCCCAGCCCTGGCCTTTGCAGCCACCTGAGGGGTGAACCCGCAGATGGACGATCACTGAGAGAGAGAGAAAGAGTGCTGGCAATGCCTCCTGCAGTGCTTCTCTTCCCCAAATGGCTTTGACAGCCAGCACTGGATCAGGCAGAAATCAGGAGGCAGGAGCTCCATTCAGGACTCCCACGAGGGAGGCAGGGAGGCAGGGAGGCAGCGAGCCAGCGAGCCAGGGAAGAGTACCCAGGCCTCAGCGGCTGCCTCCCTGGATCACAAGCTGGAGAAAGAGCAGCTGACTGAAGCGGGCCTGTGGCTTCGGGCGCTGGATGCGGCAGCGCACAGAGGCGTCCAGTGGCGCCATGGCGATGGCCAGTGAGGAGTGCGCCTGCGCCCGGCGCTTTGACCCGGAAGTGCACCCACAGGCGCTGCCGCTTTTACCCTCAGTGCATGGGTGGGAGTCAGCGCCGTGCCCACTCCTGCCCATGGCTTGAGCGAGCCTTGAGGAGCCATCTTTAACGCTGGTGGCCAAACCTGAGGAGCCCAGGGCCCCCCAGGCTCAGGCCAGGATCAGGTGAGGCTGCGGCCCGATGCGGCTGCATCAGTTCCTTGGGCTTCTGGAAACTTCCAGGCGCGGTCCTCTGCTTCGGCCCCTTCCCGAAGACTACACCTCAGGACTCGGTTCCTGTTCCTGAGGAACAGAAATGCTCTTTGTGAGGGGATTCGGCACGGTGGACTTCCCGTCACGGGGTAGGCATGGCTCGAGGTGCAGAGTGCGGGGAGGGGTGTGTGTGGGGTGTCACTGGGTAGAAGGTGGAGGAGAGGGAGGACAAAGGTGAGGCGGGAGAAGAGAGGAAGTGGAGAGAATGAAGGGGGGAGGCGAGGAAGGGAGGGGAAGAAAGGCGTGTGGGGAGAGGAAAGGAGGGAGAGAGTGACGGGAGCCCCCGGGGGGTGTGTGGGAGGGGGGTTGGGAGCTAGGTCGGTTTGGGGGGTTTTCTGTGCCAGGCCAGATGTAGCCTTGGCGTCTGTAGAAGAGGCCTTGACTCACGGCCTCTCTGCTCCAGGTTGTTCAGCAGTGTAAGGTTGTGTGTGCAGGAACACGGGGGCACGGGGTGCTCGAATTAATTGGAATGTAATCCGGTGAATTTTCAGACTGCATACATGGAGGAGAAAGCAGAAGCTTAGAGAAATGCCAAGAATCCCCCTGTGCTCAGCCTGTCCAAAATTCTGACACCTCAGAGTAAGTACTAGGTATTTTTTTTTCCTATGGAATAATTGGTTTGCAAGGCAGAGTTCTAGATGAGGCGGTGCAGGAGAGATCTTCAGGGTATGGATTCACACCCCAGGTGGCTACAATGGCCGGCGCTGGGCCAGGCAGGAGCAGAGGCCAGGTACTTTATCCAGTACTGCAGTGCGAGTTAAGGTGGCCCAAGTCCTTGGGGTGCTTCCTCTGCTTTCCTAGGCATTTGAACAGGCAGCTGGATCTCAAGTTGGAATAGCCTGGGTTGATGGGGGTTGAGGGGTGGGGTGGGAGCAGCCGTGGCATAGTGGATGAAGCCGCCCCTGCATGTACCAGCATCCCACATGGGCATTGGTTCGAGTCTCAGCAGCTCCACATCTGATCCAGCTCTCTGCTGTGGCCTGGCAAAGCAATAGAAGAGGGCCCAAGTCCTTGGGCCCCTGCACCTGAGTGGGAGTCCTGGAGGAACTGCTCCTGGCTCCTGGCTTCAAATCCACTCAGCTCCAGCTGTCGCGTCCATCTGAGGAGTAACACATGGATGGAAGACCTTCTCTCTTTCTCTCTCCCTCTGACTCTCTGTAATTCTACTTTTGAAATGAATAAATAAAGCTTTTAAAAAAAGCATAACAAGCAGGAATCCAGTTGGAGTCTATATGGAATGACATTGTTCCAGGCTGTGTTGTAACCTGCTGTGCCACAAGGCAGGTATCTTAAGTACTTTTCTGCCCACGGCTTCTTTTTAGCTGAGCAGAAACAGGGTATGTGAATACAGTAACCTATATCTAATACATTTTCTGATACTTTATAATTATGTGTTACTCTAGTTATAAATTATAACTTCCTTAGTAATTATGGAAGCATTCCCATTTTTCCTTTCCCTTTGGGTGGATTTTGGCATATTCTGCGTTTCAAAGGCATTCACGCAGTTCATTTATCTTATATAATTTTTGGTCACAGAGTTGTTCATACTATTCCTTTAGAGTTATCTTGTCCATGCAGTCATGGTGGCACTGTTTCATTAACCAACTCATTAACTTGCACCAGTTTTTTTTTTTGGTTGGTGCTGAGAAGTTCACGAATTTTGTGTTCAAAGAACCAAGTGTTAGTTTTGTCAACGTTTTTCTGTGATTGAGCTTTTTTCAGTCCCATCGACTTGTACTTGTATCTCTCCATGATTGATTTCATTTTCCTCACCTTGCTTTAAGTGTTTAAGTTGCTGTTCTTCCTCTGATCTCCTAGGGTGAAAGTGTAGCTCATGGATCTTGGTGGTTCTTTTCTAAAATATGCATCCATTACTATAAATGGGCAGGATACAGTTTCCATTTAGTTTGAATGATTTTTTATTTGAGATTTATAAATGTGTTATTTTGAGGTTGGTTGATGGTTCTTCTCGCAAGTATTTGGGATTTTCCAGCCTTTTTTTTTTTCTTTCTTTCTTTTTTTTTTTTTTTGACAGGCAGAGTGGACAGTGAGAGAGAGAGAGACATAGAGAAGGTCTTCCTTTGCCGTTGGTTCACCCTCCAGTGGCCGCCGTGGCCAGTGCACCACGCTGATCCAAAGGCAAGAGCCAGGTACTTATCCTGGTCTCCCATAGGGTGCAGGGCCCAAGGACTTGGGCCATCCTCCACTGCACTCCTGGGCCATAGCAGACAGCTGGCCTGGAAGAGGGGCAACCAGGACAGAATCCAGCACCGTGACTGGGACTAGAACCCGGTGTGCCAGTGCCACTAGGCGGAGGATTAGCCTATTGACCCGCGGCGCCGGCCGGATTTTCCAGCCTTTTTGTACTGACCTCTGAGTAGAGAGGTTGCATTGTGATCTGAGACCTTACATTGTGTGGCGACTCTTCCTTAGGAGTTGAGGTCTGCTGTACAGCAGAAACATGGTCAGAGTGGATGTGCCGTGTGGGTCTGAGAAGAGTGTCATGTTGCGGTGCTGTGGACAGAGCATCCTCGAAGGATCCGTTCAACACTTGGTTGATTCAGGTGCTGTTCTTTTCAGCTACATCCTTACTGATGGTCTGACTGCTGATCTGGTAACGAAAGAGATGTCTTGATGTCTGTGAGTGTAATAGTGCCTTTGTTTATTTCTCTTTGTAGTTTTAACTATGGTTGCTTATGTATTTTGGGATGAGGTTTACTTTTGGATTCACTATCCTACTCTGTTGAAACGTGTTTCTTCTGTTGTTTCAGGAATCCCAAAGCAAGGTCTTGGTTATTGTAGGTTTATTGAAAGTCTGGAAAGACAGTTGTCATTTCACCCAGTTCCTTGTTTTTCATGGTGAAGTTGATAGTCAATTGTCTTGAGTTTTCCTAACTATATTCATGTTTGTTTTTTTTTTTTTTTTCTCAAAAACCTGTTGCTGGAGGTTTTTTTGGTTGGTTGTTTTTTTGTTTTGTTTTGTTTTTTATTTAAATGGTGTTGAACCTAGAACCATTTTAGAAGAAATGTTATATTAATAATATTCAGTCTTCCAGTCCAATACACAGCGTATTTACTTAGATCTTCTTTAGTTTCCTTCATCAGCATTTTAATCTTCAGCCAACATACTGTGTATTTTATTGATAGAGTTTACGAGTTTTCATTTCAGTAGGCTATTTTAAATTTCAAATCAGTGTCTACCTGTTGATGATGGTACAATACAATTGATTTTTTTAACTTTTATTTAGTAAATATAAATTTCCAAAGTACAGTTTATGGATTACAATGGCTTCCCCCCAGAACTTCCCTCCCACCCACAACCCTCCCATCTCCTGCTCCCTCTCCCATTCCATTCACATGAAGATTCATTTTCAATTATCTTTATATACAGAAGATCAATTTAGTATATATTAAGTAAGGATTTCATCAGTTTCACCCACACAGAACATAAAGTGTAAAATACTGTTTGAGTACTACTTATAGCATTAATTCACATTGAACAACACATTAAGGACAGAGATCCTACATGAGGAGTAAGTGCACAGTGACTCCTGTTGTTGACTTAACAAATTGACACTCTAGTTTAAGGTGTCAGTAATCTCCCTAGTCTCTAGTCATGAGTTGCCAAGGCTATGGAAACCTTTTGAGTTCGCTGACTTCGATCTTATTTCGACAAGGTCATAGTCAAAGTGCAAGTTCTGTCCTCTCTTCAGAGAAAGGGACCTCCTTCTTTGATGGCCGGTTCTTTCTACTGGGATCTCACTCACAGAGATCTTTCCTTTAGGTTTTTGTTTTTGTTTTTGTTTTTTGCCTGAGTGTCTTGGCTTTCCATGCCTAAAATACTCTCATGGGCTCTTCAGCCAGATCCAAATGCCTTAAGGGCTAATTCTGAGGCCAGAGTGCTGTTTAGGACATCTGCCATTCTATGAGTCTGCTGTGTATCCCGCTTCCCATGTTGGATTGTTCTCTCCTTTTTTGATTCTATCAGTTAGTATTATCAGACACTAGTCTTGTTTGTGTGATCCCTTTGACTCTTAGACTTATCATTATGATCTATTGTGACCTGAAATTGTTCACTTGGACTAGTGAGATGGCATTGGTACATGCCAACTTGATGGGATTGTGTTAGAATGCCCTGGCACATTTCTAACTCCAGCATTTGGGGCAAGTCAGCTTGAGCATGTCCCAAATTGTACATCTCCTCCCTCTCTTATTCCCACTCTTATATTTAACAGGGATCACATTTCAGTTAACTTTAAACCCCTAAGAATAATTGTGTGTTAATTACAGAGTTCAACCAATAGTATTAAGTAGAACAAAAAAATACTAAGAGGGGTAAAGTATGAAATTGTACATCAACAGTCCGGACAAGGGCTGATCAAGTCACTGTTTCTCGTAGTTTCCATTTCACTTCACCAGGTTTCCTTTTTGGTGCTCGGTTAGTTGTCACCTATCAGGGAGAACATATGATATTTCTCCCTTTGGGACTTGCTTGATTCACTCAGCATGATGTGTTCCAGATTCCACCATTTTGTTGCAAATGACCGGATTTTATTGTTTTTGACTGCTGTATAGTATTCTATAGAGTGCATGTCCCATAATTTCTTTATCCAGTCTACTGTTGATGGGCATTTCCATTGATTCCAGGTCTTAGCTATTGTGAATTGAGCTGCAATAAACATTAAGGTGCAGACAGCCTTTTTGTTTGCCAGTGTAATTTCCTTTGGGTAAATTCCAAGGAGTGGGATGGCTGGGTTGAATGGTAGGGTTATATTCAGGTTTCTGAGAAATCGCCAGACTTACTTTCATAGTGGCTTAACCAGTTTGCATTCCCACCAACAGTGGGTTAGTGTCCCTTTTTCCCCACATCCTCGCCAGCATCTGTTGTTGGTAGATTTCTGAAGGTGAGCCATTCTCACCAGGGTGAGGTGAAACCTCATTGTGGTTTCGATTTGCATTACCCTGATTGCTAGTGATCATGAACATTTTTTCATGTGCCTGTTGGCCATTTGGATTTCCTCTTTTGAAAAATGTCTATTGAGGTCCTTGGCCCATCTCTTAAGTGGGTTGTTGGTTTTGTTTTTGTGGAGTTTCTTGATCTCTTTGTAGATTCTGGTTATTAACCCTTTATCTGTTGCGTAGTTTGCAAATATTTTTCCCATTCTGTCGGTTGCCTCTTAACTTTCCTCACTGTTTGCCTTGCAGTACAGAAACTTCTCAATTTGATGCAATCCCAAATGTTAACTTTGATTTTGGCTGCCTGTGCTTCTGGGATCTTTTCCAAGAAGTCTTTGCCTGTGCCTATATCTTGCAGGGTTTCTCCAATGTTCTCTAATAATTTGATGGTGTCGGGTCATAGATTTAGGTCTTTAATCCATGTTGAGTGGATTTTGTGTATGGTGAAAGATAAGGATCTTGCTTCATGATTCTGCACGTGGAAATCCAATTTTCCCAGCACCGTTTATTGAATAGACTGTCCTTACTCCAGGGATTGGTTTTGGATCCTTGATCAAAAATAAGTTGGCTGTAGATGTTTGGGTTGATTTCTGGTGTTTCCATTCTGTTCCATTGGTCTATCCATCTGTCTCTGTACCAGTACCATGCTGTTTTGATTACAGCTGCCCTGTAGTATGTCCTGAAATCTGGTATTGTGATGCCTCTGGCTTTGTTTTTGTTGTACAAGATGGCTTTAGCTATTCGAGGTCTCTTGTGCCTCCATATGAATTTCAGCATCATTTTTTCTAGATCTGAGAAGAATGTCTTTGGTATTTTGATTGGTATTGCATTGAATCTATAAATTGCTTTTGGGAGAATGGACATTTTGATGATGTTGATTCTTCCAATCCATGAGCATGGAAGATTTTTCCATTTCTTGGTATCCTCTTCTATTTCTTTCTTTAAGGTTTTGTAATTTTCATCGTAGAGATCTTTAACATCCTTGGTTAAGTTGATTCCAAGGTATCTGATTGTTTTTGTAGCTATTGTGAATGGGATTGATCTTAGAAGTTCTTCCTCAGCCATGGCATTGCCTGTGTATACAAAGGTTGTTGATTTTTGTGCATTGAGTTTATATCCTGCTACTTTGCCAAACTCTTCTATGAGTCCCAATAGTCTCTTAGTAGAGTTCTTTGGGTCCCCTAAATGAAGAATCATATCATCTGCAAAGAGGGATAATTTGAGTTCTTCCTTCCCAATTTGTATCCCTTTAATTTCTTTTTCTTCCCTAACAGCTCTGGCTAAAACCTCCAGAACTATGTTGAATAGCAGTGGTGAGAGTGGGTATCCCTGTCTGGTACCAGATCTCAGTGGAAATACTTCCAACTTTCCCCATTCAATAGGATGCTGGCCGTGGGTTTTTCATAAATTGCTTTGATTGTATTGAGGAATGTTTCTTCTATACTCAGTTTGCTTAGGGTTTTCATCATGAATGGGTGTTGTGTTTTATCAAATGCTTTCTCGGCGTCTATTGAGATAATAATATGGTTTTTCTTCTGCAGCTTTTTAATGTGGTGTATCACACTGATTTGTGCACATTGAACCATCCCTGCATACCAGGGATAAATCCCACTTGGTCTGGGTGGATGATCTTTCTGATGTGTTGTTGCATTGTATTGGCGAGAATTTTATTGAGGATTTTTGCATCTATGTTCATCAGGGATTTTGGTCTGTAATTTTCTTTCAATGCTGCATCTTTTTCTGGCTTAGGAATTAAGGTGATGCTGGCTTCATAGAAAGAATTTGGGAGGATTCCCTTTTTTTGATTGTTCTGAATAGTTTGAGAAGAATTAGAGTTAGTTCTTTAAATGTCTGGTAGAATTCAGCAGTGAATCCATCTGGTCCTGGGCTTTTCTTTGTTGGGAGGACCTTTATTACTGTTTATTTCTGGTAGATTTCCCTGTTTGCTGGCATACATGTCCTTGTAGTACTTTCTGATGATTCTTTTTATTTCTGTGGTGTCTGTTGTTATGCCTCCTTTTTCATCACTGATTTTATTTTTTTATTTTTTTAACTTTTATTTAATGAATATAAATTTCCAAAGTACAGCTTATGGATTACAATGGCTTCCCCCCCATAACGTCCCTCCCACCCGCAACCCTCCCCTCTCCCCTTCCCTCTCCCCTTCCATTCACATCAAGATTCATTTTCGATTCTCTTTATATACAGAAGATCAGTTTAGCATACATTAAGTAAAGATTTCAACAGTTTGCTCCCACACAGAAACATAAAGTGAAAAATAATAGATGATTTTTTAAATGATGATGAAATCAGATCAGACCTATTGTCATGTTTAATCCCAGTGAGAGTCAAGTTGGGAATTGATAATTTTTTCTTTTTTTCTTTACAGAAGATCAGTTTAGTGTACATTAAGTAAAGCTTTCAACAGTGTGCACCCCCATAGAAACACAAAGTGAAATACACTGTTTGAGTATTCGTTATAGCATTAAGTCTCAATGTACAGCACATTAAGGACAGAGATCCTACATGAGGAGTAAGTGCACAGTGACTCCTGGTGTTGACTTTACAAATTGACACTCTTGTTTATGGCCTCAGTAATTTCCCCATGCTCCAGTCATGAGTTTCCAAGGCTATGGAAGCCCCTTGAGTTCTCCGACTCTTATCTTGTTTAGACAAGGTCATAGTCAACATGGAGGTTCTCTCCTCCATCTCTGATTTTATTGATTTGAGTCTTTTCTTTTTTTATTTAGTTGTGTCAATGGGGTGACTATTTTGTTTATTTTTTCCAAAAACCAGCTCCTCGTTTTGCTGATTTTTTTGTAAATTTTTTTTGGAGTCAATCCTATTGATTTCTTCTCTGATTTTAATTATTTCTCTTCTCTTACTAGATTTGGGTCTGGTTTTCTGCAGTTTTTCTAGATCCTTGAGATGAATCGAAAGCTCATTTATTTGGTGCCTTTCCAATTTCTTTATGTAGGCACCTATTACTATAAACTTTCCTCTTAACACTGCTTTTGCTGTATCCCATAAGTTTTGATATGTTGGGCCGTTATCCTCATTTACTTCCAGAAAGTTTTTGATTTCTCCTAAGACACAGTGTTCATTCAGGAGCATGTTGTTCAATCTCCATGTGTTTGCATATGCTCCAGGGATTCCTGAGTTGCTAATTTCCACCTTCATTCCACTGTGGTCTGAGAAGCTGCATGGTATGATTCTAATTCTCTTGAATTTGCTGAGACTTGCTTTATGGCCTAGTGAATTGGTATTGGATAGGAGGGCTTATCATTTTCGTTGTTGGAGGATTTATAACTGGATTCAATGTCTTGAGTAGATACAGGTGGATACTTCAGAAAGTCACAGGAAGCTGAAGTGGAAAGTTTATTGTGGAGCAGAAGAAGTGTGTGTCAAGAGGCCAGACGAAATGTCCTCACCAGGCTCTAATTTTTTATTTCATCTTGTTTCATAAGTGAGAGATTTGCAAAGTACTTTATTTTTGGTTAACAGCTCTTTTTTTTAAGACTTGGCATACATCTCCCCACTTTCTCCTAGCCCATATAGGGTGTCTGATGAGAAGTCAGATGTGATTCTAATCAGAGATCTTATGAAAAGGGTCTGGTGTTTCTCTTGTATGATTTTAGTGTCCTTCTGCATGTTGGAGTGTGCAGAATTTGACTGCGGTGAGTCACGGTGAAGATCTTTCAGGTCGTGTGTATTAGGACTTCCATGTGCTTCCTGTGCTCCACTGTTCCTTTCCTCAAATTAAACAAGTTGTCTGTAATTACTTCAGTAAAAGGGCCTTCTTGTCAACTGTCTTTCTATGCCTTCACTTATTTGTTCTGATAATATCCCTTAGCTGAGGCCTAACAGTAAAAATATTATTAGTGGGTGACATGCTAGGAAGAGAATGACAAGGCCTATTCAGAGCAGCTGTCACTCCTGCTGCAGTCCCTTGGCTCCAGCTCCCAAGCAGTTGCCTGGCCAGAGGAGGATAGGGCTGCCCATGCAGTGACAGGTGCAGATAAAGTGTGTGCTCCCTGTTGCCACTACCACCTCGTGTCTGGCCACAGTTGAACTGTGGTCCCAAGGCTGGGAATGGCATCCAGGAGAGGAGTGATGCATACCACATTTCTGTTGGCTGCAGGCCAGTGCAGTCCCTGCGTACTGTTTCACACCAGGAAGAGCAGGGCTCCTGCTGTGGCAGCGGCGAGAAGCTCTGGGGTGCATCCTTGCTTGGCCTAGGAGAGAAGATGAGCTGTTATGACAGCCGTGTCACTGGCATCTGGTGGCTGTGCCAGGGCTGGGTCTTTTTTTTTTTTTTTTGACAGGCAGAGTGGACAGTGAGAGAGAGAGACAGAGAGAAAGGTCTTCCTTTGCCGTTGGTTCACCCTCCAATGGCCGCCGCGGCCGGCGCGCTGCGGCCGGCGCACCGCGCTGATCCGATGGCAGGAGCCAGGAGCCAGGTGCTTTTCCTGGTCTCCCATGGGGTGCAGGGCCCAAGCACCTGGGCCATCCTCCACTGCACTCCCTGGCCACAGCAGAGGGCTGGCCTGGAAGAGGGGCAACCGGGACAGAATCCGGCGCCCCGACCGGGACTAGAACCCGGTGTGCCGGCGCCGCTAGGCGGAGGATTAGCCTAGTGAGCCGCGGCGCCGGCCAGGGCTGGGTCTTAAATTGGTTCCCTCTGAGCAGTGGCTCGCACTGTCATCGCACTGCTAACACCCCCTGTTTTTCAGACTTGCAGGACACCTTTGGTGGGATCCATGGTCTGTGTGGTGGTCTTCATGTCCTCAGCTGCCCTGAGCATGAGCTCCCCTGGGATCTGTAGCTACTCTGGTCAGGTCTGAGTGTGGTTTGGTTGACTCTAGGGGGACAGACTTTAACAGAGAGGATCTGCAGCTTGAGCTGTGAAGGGCAGGATTTAGGGAAAGGATAACTCTTCCCTGACTGAGCGTCCACCAGGACAGACAGGCCAGAGTGTTGGCTCACGTCTTTGCTTGGGATTTCTTCCAGCCATGCAGCTTGACCTGTGTTAAGGCGGTGGGCAAGGGGAGGGTCTGGAGGGAGATACTGGCCTTGAACACGGGTGGTCCTCTTGCTGAGAATCTTACTGCCAGGGAACCACAGCCTTTCTTTCTTTATCTGTCACCACAGGGCCACACTGACTTATGGAAGCAAGAAGCCAGAGGCCCTTATTCATTCATTCCTACCGTACCCTCCCGTGTTCCTCTGTGTGCATTGCACATGTGTTCCCAAAGTGCTTCTGCTACAAGGCTCTGCCTGGATGCAGAGGCCCCCCACGTGGAGCCAAGAAGTCCTTGTAATTTGTTGTCTGTCAAGGTCACCTGATGGCATTAGTGGCTATACTAAGTGGCACCAGGTATCCTACAATTTTCCCAGCCTGCCTCACTGGGCTGTTTAATGGTGAGAAGGAGGGAATGTAGAGGGCACAGCCCCGTGGGGCAGCTCCCTGCACTGGTCTGCAGCCAACAGAAATGTGGTATTTTTCTTCTTCAGCCCCTTCTGGAAGCAATGGCTGTCCCGCCAGCAGACCAGGCCCCCTTGGAGGTGAGTGACGTGCTGCTGTTGTGGTTTCCCGCTGGTGGTCTTGGCTGCAGGCGTGCCTATTGCTCGTGCGTCCCGAAGGCGCGGGTGGAGTCGCGGTCGGTTGTGCTGTGTGGACAGTCTGGAAGGGTCCCCAGTGTGTGAGCAGCTGTGTGAGAGCAGAGGTGTCTGGGTCTCCTCCCTGAAGGGCCATGCGTTCCCTTCTGTTTGCTTTTTGAGGACCCAGCCTCCCTGCTCTAGACCTCTGAGACTGTTGATGGAACGAGAGCAAAAATGCATGTCTGTGTCCTGGTCAGGACAGTTTCGGGTTCCTGGCATTGGGTGTGATATTAGCGCTCTGTGGGTTTTTAATGAAAGAGCCTTGTCAGGCCGAGGTGTACCTTCCGTTCCTAATTTGATGATTTTTTTTTTTTTAATATCGGAGAAAGTAATGGAAGTTTTTGTGAAATAGTTTTTCTGTGTCTGTAGGGATAACGTGTGGCCTTTTCTCTTGTTGATTCTGTTCTGGGATATATTGATTTTGTATGGTAGCCAACCTTGAATTCCTGGAGTAACTCTCAGTTGCGCACTGTGAGCTAAGCTTTAGTTGTGCTTCTGGATCGCATTTGGCAATTTGTTCAGGATTATGACAGATTCATGACAGATATTTATATGCCACTTTCTTTATTATGTGTTTGTTTTCGATGTTGGGATAATGCTGGTCTGATGGAAGAAAATTGGATGTTTTCCCTCTTAATCTCCTTTTTGGAAGGATTTGTGAATCATGGATTTTAATTACCCTGTAACTGGGAGTTCTCACTGGTGAAGCCTTGTGGTCCTGGAATTATATTCATTTTTTGTGTTTGGTTTTTGGTTTCCCTGCTAATACAGTCTCATTTCAATTTAAAAGTATATTCACAGTTTCTAGTTTGACTACAATCAGTTTTGGGGTTTCTTTCTGAGAATCAATCCACTGTATCCACATTGACCAAATTCTTGTGCCTTCGTTTTCCCATAGTGTTTTTGATTATTATTTTAGTAAGGTTGTTAGTAATGTCCTCTCTGTCATTTCTCTTGTTAAGTCATTTGAGTCTGTTCTCTTTTTTGCTTGTTTCATGTGTATAAACGTAGTGTCAGTTTCACTGAGTTTTCAAGAACTGTATTTTGGTCTCACTGAATTTTTGTTGTGATATTTTCTATGCCATTGACTTTATTTCCGTTTGAATCATTTTCCTGCTTCCAGTTTCTTAAGATTTACTTTGCTGTTCTAGTGTTTGAAGGTAAAATTGGGTTTATGGATCCGATGTCTGTATTCTGTAATATATACCTGTAGAGCAATACAATTTCTCATGTGAAATTGGTCCTGTCAACATGGAAAACTATATGGGTGTACCCACTACTGGGAACATATTGAAGGAAACGAAATCATTGTATAGACAGAGAGGCTTTCACAGGCCTATGCTTATTGCAGTAGGATGCACAATAGCCAGGCTATGCAGTCTGCAGACGCATGTATGGTGTCCATAGCCCGTAATGTCTTTATTCAGTCTTGAGGTGATCGGCATTTTGGCTGATGGCATATGTTTGCTCTTGTGAATTGAGCTGTGGTAAATATGGGGGCAGAGAGAACTCTTTTTTTTGTATGCTGATTTCATTCCCCTTGGGTGCATTCCCAGAGCTGGAGTGGCTGGCTCATATGCTATGTCTGTATCCAGATTTCTGACTTATCTCCATACTGTCTTCCACAGTGGTGATACCAGTTTACATTCCCACCAGCAGTGGATTAGGGTGCCTTTTCCCTCACATGCTCAAGGCCATTGTAGAATTGATTTCCATTTCCCTGATGTCTAGTGATCCTGAGCATTTTTTTATTTTAATTTTAATTTTTATTTAATGAATACATTTTTACATAGATACAACTTTAGGACTATAGTGGTTCTTTCCCCATATCCCTCCAACCCCCATCCCAGCTCCCATTCTCTCTCCCATCTCATTCTTCATTATGGATCATTTTTAGTATGACTGTATATATAGAAAACCAATTCTATGCTAATCATAGACTTCAGCAATTTGCACCCATGCCAACATACAACATATAGAGTACAGTTTGGGGAGAGAATTTGCAGTCAATTCTCATATTACTATTCAATAGGGACAGAGGTCCTACCTGGGAAGCAAGTGAAAAGTGAGTATTGTTATTCTTTAAAATTTTTTTAACTTTTATTTAATGAATATAATTTCCAAAGTACAGCTTATGGATTACAATGAGGGTGGGCTCCAGAGAACGTGGGCTATCAGCGTCTGCGTCTCTGGGTCACCGCGTGGATGCAGCAGTGTGCAGATGTGTCCTGGGGTGCCATGGTGACGGCCTGTTGGGAGTGCGCCTGCGCCTGGGCCTGGCGCTGTGACCCGGAAGTGCACCCACACGCCTGGCCTCAACTGCCCTGCGCTGCTCCGCTGGGAGTCAGCGCCGCGTCTGCTCCTGCCCGAGAGCCCATGCAAGAGGTGGGGAGAGGAGCTCTACTTGATGCTGCTGACAGAGCCTGAGGGAGACCCAGCGGCCCCAGGGTCAGGCCAGGATCAGGAGAGGGTGCGGGTCTGAGGCTTCCGCGCCATTTCCCAGGCGCGTTTCTATTCTTTGGCCCCTTCGGGAAGCAATGGCCTTCGCGGACCTCTGTCCCGCCGGCAGACTGCCCCTCCCGCCCCCCGCCCGGAGGTGAGTGACACGTGGCTGTTGCGGTGTCCCGCTGGGGGTCTTGGCTGCAGGCGTGCCTGTTGCTCTTGGGTCCTGAAGGCGCGGGTGGAGTCGCTGTCGTGCAGTGCGGACGGTCTGGAAGGGTCCCCAGGGTGCTTGCAGCTGTGCAAGAGCAGAGGTGGCTGGGTCTCCTCCCGGAACGGCCTTGTGTTCTTGTCTGTTTGCTTTTCCAGGGCCCAGCCTCCCTGCTCTAGACCTCTGAGACTGTTGTCAGGAGGAATGAGAGCGAAAGTGCGTGTCTGTGTCCTGATCTAGGAGGACAGTTTCGGGTTCCTGGCATTGGGTGTGATATTAGCGCTCTGTGGGTTTTTAATGAAAGAGCCTTGTCAGGCCGAGGTGTACCTTCCGTTCCTAATTTGATGATTTGGTTTTTAGTATCGCACAAGTCACGGGAGTTTTTGTGGAATAGGTTTTCTGTGTCTGTCGGGATACTTTGTGGGCTTTCCCCATGTGTGTTCTGTTCTGTGATAGATTGATTTTGTATGGTAGAAATGCATCCTTGCATTTCTGGAGAAACTCAGTTGCGCCCAGTGTGCTAAGCTTTGGTTGTGCTTCTGGATGGCATCTGATCATATTTTGTTGAGGCCTGTGACACATTCACGACGGATATTTGTGTGCCATTTTCTTTGTGGTGTGCTTGTTTGGGATGTTGGGATAATGCTGGTCTGATGGAATGAAATGGAAGGCTTTTCCTCTTCATCCCCTTTTTGGGATGGTGTGTGAATCACGGATTTTAATTATCTTTTAAGTGGAGTTCTCACTGGACTTTCCTTCTTGTCTTTTTCGTTTGTTTCTGTTTCCCTGCAGCTACAGTCTCTTTTCAAATTATAAGTGTATTCAGAATTTCTTGTTTTACTGTATTCAGGTTTAGTGGTTGGCATCTTTCTGAGAATCAAGCCACTCTATCTAGGTTGACCAAATCCCCGTGCCTGGTTTTTCCCTAGTATTTTTGGTTTATTATTTTGGCAAGGTTGGTAGTGATGTCCTCTCTGTCATTTCTGTTGTCAAGTCACTTGAGTCTGTTCTCCTTTTCCCCCCTGTTTCCTCTTTTGTCAGTTTCACTGAGTTTTCCAGAACTGTATTTTGGTCTCAGTGAATGTCTTTAGTGATTTTTCTATGCTGTTGGATTGATTTCCCTTTGAATCGTTTTCCTCCTTCCGGTTTCTTAAGATTTACTTTGCTGTTCTAGTGTTTGTAGGTAAAATTGGGTTTATGGATCTGATGTCTGTATTCTGTAATATATACCTGTAGAGCAATACAGTTTCTCATGTGAAATTGGTCCTGTCAACTTGGAAAACTGTATGGGTGTACCCACTACTGGGAACATATTGAAGGAAACGAAATCATTGTGTAGACAGGCTTTCACAGGCCTATGCTTATTGCAGTAGGATGCACAATAGCCAGGCTATGCAGTCTGCAGACGCATATATGATGTCCATAGCCCGTAATGTCTTTATTCAGTCTTGAGGTGATCGGCATTTTGGCTGATGGCATATGTTTGCTCTTGTGAATTGAGCTGTGGTAAATATGGGGGCAGAGAGAACTCTTTTTTTTTGTATGCTGATTTCATTCCCCTTGGGTGCATTCCCAGAGCTGGAGTGGCTGGCTCATATGCTACGTCTGTATCCAGATTTCTGACTTATCTCCATACTGTCTTCCACAGTGGTGATACCAGTTCACATTCCCACCAGCAGTGGATTAGGGTGCCTTTTCCCTCACATCTTCAAGGTAATTGTAATATCGATTTGCATTTCCCTGATGGCTAGTGATACTTATCATTTCTACATATGTTTGTTGGACATTTAGATTTCCTTTCTTTTTTTTTTCTTTTTCTTTTTTTTATTTAGTAAATATAAATTTCCAAAGTACAGTTTATGGATTACAATGGCTCCCCCCACACACATAATTTGCCTTCCATTTACACCCCCCACATCTCCCGCTCCCTCTCCCATTCCATTCACATCAAGATTCATTTTCAATTATATTTATATACAGAAGATTGATTCAGTATATATTAAATAAAGATTTCATCAGTTTGCACCCACACAGAAACACAAGTGTAAAATACTGTTTGAGTACTACTTATAGCATTATTTCACATTGGACAACACATTAAGGACAGACCCCACATGAGAAGTAAGGACACGGTGACTCCTGTTGTTGACTTAACAGTTTGACGCTCTTGTTTATGGTGTCAGTAATCTCCCTAGTCTCTAGTCATGAGTTGCCAAGGCTCTGGAAGCCTTTTGAGTTTGCCGACTTCGATCTTATTCTGACAGGGTCATAGTCAAAGTGGAAGTTTTCTCCTCCCTTCAGTGAAAGGTACGTCCTTCTTTGATGACCCATTTTTTCCACTGGGGTCACTCGCAGAGATCTTTCATTTAGGTCTTCTTTTTTTTTTTTTTTTCCAGAGTGTCTTGGCTTTCCATGCCTAAAATATTCTCATGGGCTCTTCAGCCAGATCCGAATGTCTTAAGGGCTGATTCTGAGGCCAGAGTGCTGTTTAGAACATCTGCCATTCTATGAGTCTGCTGTGTATCCTGCTTCCCATGATGGATCCTTCTCTCCCTTTTTGATTCTGTCAGTTAGTATTAGCAGACACTAATCTTGTTTGTGTGATCCCTTTCACTCTTCGACCTATCAGTGTGATCAGTTGTGAAGTGAAATTGATCACTTGGACTAGTGAGATGGCAGTGGTACATGCCACCTTGTTGGGATTGAATTGGAATCCCCTTGCACTTTTCTAACTCCAGCATTTGGGGCAAGTCCGATTGAGCATGTCCCAAATTGTACATCTCCTCCCTCTCTTATTCCCACTCTTATATTTAACAGGGATCACTTTTCAGTTAAAATTTAAACACCTAAGAATAATTGTGTGTTAATTACAGAGTTCAACCAATAGTACTAGAACAAAACAAAAAAAAATACTAAAATGGATAAAGTATTACATTGTACGTCAACAGTCAGGACAAGAGCTGATCAAGTCACTGTTTCTCCTAGATTTCCTTTCTTGAAATATGCCTGTGGAAGCCCCTCGCCCATTTCCTGAGTGGGTGGTTTGTTTTGCTGTAGTTGAGTTTTTTGAAAGTTTCTTGTGGTTTAGTTTATCCTTTATCAGTTGCATACTTTGCATATAATTTCTCCCATTCCGTTAGTTGCCTCTTTACTTTGCTGAGTGTTTTCTTTTGCAGGGCAGAAGCTTCTCCATTTTTTTTTTTTTGGTGTCCTCTTGTATCTCTCTCTTTAATCTTTTGTGATTCCCAGATGTTGAACATCCTTGGTTAAATTATTCCAAGCTTTTTATTTTCTTTGTAGCTATGTGAATGGGATTGATCTTAGAATTCCTTTCTCAGCCATGACATTGTCTGTGTATACAAAGACTTGATTTTTTTTTCCTGGCTCATTACCTAACTCTACTCTGAATTTCAATAGTCTCTTAGTGGAGTCTTTTGGATCTTCTATATATAGAATTGTGTCATCTGCGAATACGGATAGTTGGACTTCCTCCTTCCCAATTTGTATCTACAATGAGAAATTAGAGAAGAAGTACCAACATGATTGTGTGCATGTAGAAAATGTGAATAGTGACCTCAGATACTACCTTTCTGTATTCTCTCTTGCTTTGTGGGACATGTGATTTGGCCTGTTTCCAACATGATCTGTACTTTAAATGCAGGGCTAGACTGTGCAGGGTGGTGTCTGGGAAGTAGATCTGTGTTCCATGGAGAACTCTGTAGATCACAGGTGTTTCAAGTCCTTGTGTGAGTGGGTACATAAGTGTCTGAATAAATAAATTACAAAGATTTCCTCATGCTTAAGTCAGAGATAATGCCACACAGAATGTTTGTAAGGAAGAAGAGAATGAATGGGTACTAGAATCTTTTCTAAGACTGATTTAAATTCTTTTTCAAATTCTGTGTCTATTTGGTATGCAATACCTATAGTATCAGTTTGTAAATAAACTCTAGTAGTTGGCCTGTATTTTATTTACAGCTATGTCTTTTTTAATTTTTACTTTTTCTTAAATATTTATTTATTTGAAATTCAGACATATACACAGAGAGGATGGGAGGCAGAGAGAGCGAGAGAGAGAAAGAGAGAGACAGATACATAGGTTTTCCATCTGCTGTTCCACTTCCTATTCGGCTGCAATGGCCAGAGCAGAGGAGATCTAAAAGCAGGAGCCCGGAACCTCCCTGTGGTCTCCTTCATGGGTACAAGGGCACAAGGAGTTGGGCCATCTTCTACTGCCTTCCCAAACCACGGCAGAGAGCCACATCAGAAGTGCAGCATCCAGGACTCGAACTGGCGCCTAGATGGGATGTGCGATGTGGGTGGTGGCTATAGCCACTACCCCACAATGCCAGGTCCTCCGGAAGCCATTGCCCATGGAATGCTGCTGTCTGCGAACATTGCTGGGAAAGCAGAGGGAGAAGGCCCAAGGTCTTAGGACCCTGAACCCAGAATTGGGCACCGGATAAAGTCCCTGGCTTCTGCTTTGGCCTGGCCAAGCCCTGGCCTTTTTAGCCACCTGGGGGGTAACCCCCCAGATGGATGATCACTCAGAGTGAGAAAGAGTGCTCATGATGCTGCTTGCACTGCTGCTCTCCCCAAGCAGCAGCAAGGGGCAGCGCTGGTCCAGGCAGAAGCCAGGAGGCAGGAGCTCCATTCAGGACTCCCACTAGACAGGGTGGCTGGGTCCAGAGTGCCTGGGCCGTCAGTGGCTGCCTCCCTGGGTCACAGCCTGATGAGGCAGGAATGGAAGTGGTCCTGGGGCATCAGGGCGTAGCTGCATCCCTTGGTGCCCTGTCAGTCACCAGTGAGGAGTGTGCCTGTGCCCAGCACTGTGACCCGGAAGTGCACCCGCAGGTGCATCTGTTTCTTCTGCATGGTGCTCCGGTGGGAGTCAGCGTCATGTCTGCCCCAGCTCAGAGCTTATGCAAGCCCTGAGTTGCTGATTTCGATGCTGGTGGCTGAGCCTGAGGAGATACAGTGCCTCCCCCCCCACCCCCCCAGGGTCAAGCCAGGATTAGGTGAAACTGTGGTGAGGCAGCCACTCAGTTATCTTGTGCTTCTGGAACTTTCTAGGCACAGTCCTCTTCTTTGGCCCCTCTGAAAGACTACACCTCAGGTCTGGATTCCTGTGTCAGAGGAACAGAAAGGCTCTTTCTGTGGAGAGTTTGGCATGGTGGCCTTCCTGTCACTGGGTAGGAGGGGCCCGGGGGACAGTGAGTGGGGAGGGTGTGTGTGAGGGGTAGCTGAGATAGAAGGTGGAGAAGAGTGGGTGTCAAGAGGAGGCTGGAGGAGAGAGGAAGGGGGGAGAATGAAAAGGTGGCATGAAGGTGGGGAGGCAAGGTAGGGAGGGGCAGAAACCCATGTGGGGGAGAGGAAAGGGAGGGGGAGAGTGACAGGAGTGCTGGTGGGCATGTGTGGTGGTGGGGATTGGGAGAGGTAGAACTTTTCCCACAGGCCTGGTTCTGTCTTGGGGCTTTTCTGTCCCTGGCCGGAAGTAGCCTTTGCCACGTCCTTGAGAGGGGGACTTGACTCACAGCCTCTCTTCTCCAGGTTGTTAGGAAGCATAAGGTGTGTGTGCAGGAAAACGGGGGCATGGGGACGCTCTAATTAATTGGCACATAATCCAGTGAATTTTCACAGGCTGCACACACGAAGGAGAAAGCAGAAGCTTAGAGAAACGCCAAGAATCCCTCTGTGCTGTGTTCCAGGCTGTCCCAAGATTCTGACACCTCATAGTAAGTACTGGATATTTTTTTCTATTTAAATACTAATTTGAAAGGCAGAATTATAGATGAGGAGGTGTGGGAGAGATCTTCGTGTATGGGTTCACCCCCCAGGTGACTACATTACCAGGGCTGGGCCAGGCGGGAGCAGAAGCCAGGTACTTTATCCAGTACTCCAGAGTGGGTTCAGGGGCCCAAGTTCTTGGGGTGCATCCTCTGCTTTCCTAGGCATTTCAGCATACATCTGGATCACAAGTGGGAACAGCCTGGGGGTGGGGGAGTGGCAGACAGAACAGTGGCATAGTGGATGAAGCTGCCGCCTGTAGTACCAGCATCCCATATGGGTGTCTTCCTTCTCTATGATACTTTTCTCTCATTCCCCCCAGCAAAACTAAGTATCCAGAGCTTCTGTAACACACTACCTATGCATGTAAATTGCTTACCCATTTCATCACCATTTATTTGCTAAATACCTATATCCTGTATAAAACTGTGAGCTTGTCCAGGGCAGGACTTTGTCTCTCTGCTTTCATTCCTGTAGTCCCTGGTACACAGTTGGAATTCAGCTTATGCAGAACTAACAATGCACTCACTGTTGGATCTTGGGACAGGAACTGTTGGTTATAGAAGGGTCTGTTTACAGCAATAAAGGTAGGAGGGACAAGAAAGGATGTTTAAGAGAATCAGCATTAATGAAGCACTTTCAGTGGTCAGGCTTCTTAATGTACCATTGTCTCATTTCTAAATAACAACACAAGGAGGGGAAGCAAGAGCTTTATTTAATTATACAACATTGTCCTGTCTAATCCTCTTCAAAGCTCTGTGAGAAAGGCACCACTGATACCCTTTTAAATATGAGTTAAGGGCCAGTGCCGCGGTTCAGTAGGCTAATCCTCTGCCTTGCAGCGCTGGCACACCAGGTTCTAGTCCTGGTCAAGGCACCGTATTCTGTCCCTGTTGCCCCTCTTCCAGGCCAGCTCTCTGCTGTGGCCCGGGAGTGCAGTGGAGGATGGCCCAAGTTCTTGGGCCCTGCACCCCATGGGAGACCAGGATAAGCACCTGGCTCCTGCTTTCAAATCAGCGCGGTGCGCCAGCCGTGGCGGCCATTGTAGGGTGAACCAACGGCAAAAGGAAGACCTTTCTCTCACTGTCCACTCTGCCTGTCAAAAAAAAAGAAATATGAGTTAAAGGAAGTGGGAACCAGCCCTAGGCCATATATAGAGATCAATGAAGTTCCAGTTTAAATCATGCTGTGCTTGCCCCAGAGTTGTGTCCCTCCTTGGGTTGGAACCTCAGCTTCCAGTAGTTCCAGAGTTGGGGTATCAGAGAGGTGGTAGCTGGTGAAAACCAGTGGTCCTAGTCTTTGGGCTTGTCTTTGTGTGCAGCATAACTACAGGGACTTGAGCTGTGTCACTAAGGACCCTTCTTCCTAATGCTATGGCCTCATGCTGTGATTTGTTAATATAGGTCTTGTGTCCTGGTACACACCAGTGGGGAGTCTTGAGCTGTTGGGAGAGTCTGAGGAGGACACCTTGCCACCCTGGGACTGGAACTGACTTTAAGAGGGACCCTGAGGTATGAAAGGAGATTTGCTGGTAGGGTTAGGACCAGAGGGTTTGAGGAATCCTCAAGGTCCCTGGTGATTAGACTTTTTTTTATTATTTTTTTATTATTCTTTATTCTTTATTTCAAAAGAAGAAAGAAATATTTCATGCGTTAGTTTACTTCCCTAATGCCCATAACAGCTGGAAAGGTATGTAAAGCCAGGGTCTGGGAACTCAATCCCAGTCTCCTATGTGAGTAGCAAGAATGTAAGTATTTGAGCCATCACCTGTTGCCTCCCAGGTTGTAGTAGTAGGAAGCTGGAACCAGGACTTCAGCCAGGACTTGATCCTGGGCACTCTAACATGGGCTGTGGGGATTCCAGTAGTGGCTTAGCTGCTATACCAAAAGCCCATCCCTGAATAGTTCTTCCTTCAAAGTGTGGCTGGCTACTTGTGAGGGGTTTACCTCACCACTGCTCACTGGGCCTGCTGCACAATTTTGTGAGCACCTTGTTCCAAAGGCAGCGGTAAAGTGCCACTAAAGATACTAAAACATAAATCTCTTTCCTTTCTTCCATGTATCTCCTTGGCTCAGACTCATGTTCTTTTGACTCACTTACAAAACATAAGTTCAAAGATAAAATTTTGAGGCTTTTTAAGACACCACCAGCAGAGGCTTAAACCCAGTGCAGGCCCTTCTGAGTGTGTGACTGTTCCTATGTGACTATGTAGGCTGCACGCCCATGAGGTTATCCCTGGCTGCTGAGTATAACCCATTGGCTTTAATCCATCCAGGTCTAGTCATAGGATCTCCAGGGCACCTGGGCAGACTTAATGTCTTATTAAGTCAGCTCCCTGAGGATTGTGTGGACTAGCTAGTCATACTGTCTCATGATCAAACTCCTTGATTTTCTTAGAGACCTCTTTTCCAGCTAGGGCTGGTATCTTTTTCCAGTGTAAGGCTCCTCATTCCTGGCCTTGAGCACTGAGAGGAACTGGAATGCTGCTGTGGCAGAGACCTCCTATAGGTTCTCTGAGCATTCTGAGTCCCCACGACTCTGCTTAGTGCTTCTGTGGTACCACACTGTCAGAACTGTGTTCACAAATGAGTCAGGGGACAGTCTGTCTCTGCTGTATTCCTGCTCTGAGCCTGGCAATCAAGGTCCACACAAGGCCGATGACAGAAATGTTGCATCCAGGCTGGTGCCATGGCTCACTTGGCTAATCCTCCGCCTGTGGTGCTGGCACCCCGGGTTCTAGTCCCGATTGGTGTGCTGGATTCTGTCCCAGTTGCTGCTCTTCCAGTCTAGCTCTCTGCTGTGGCCCGGGAAGGCAATGGAGGATGGCCCAGGTGCTTGGGCCCTGCACCCACATGGGAGATCAGGAGGAAGCACCTGGCTCTTGGCTTCAGATCAGCACAGCACACCGGCCATAGCGGCCATTTGGGGAATGAACCAACGGAAAATGAAGACCTGTCTGTCCCTCTCTCTCTCTCTCTCTCACTGTCTAACTCTGCCTGTCAAAAAAAAAAGTTGCATCCAGAACAGCCCCCTTATAACTAAGGTCACCTTAAGAGCTCCACAAATGGATCTTGGACAGGAGGTCAGGACTTTATGTGCAACTTGAACTTTTCCTGCCTTGGGAAGTTTACTGCCCCCACCCCCAGGACATGTTCTGAGCTGCTTGGTCCTAGGTGTAGAGGCTCTGGCCTCTGGAAATGTTGCACTGAGTTGACCTCTGAGTTTCCAGATGCCAGAAAACATGTAACAGAGCTCCTTGGATCTGTGTGACCACTTGTATATCCAACTGTGATCACAGACACGCATGGTGGATTTATGAGTGCTGCCTCAGGGTGGAGCTGAGTGCTTCCTCCTGGGACTGCATGATCTTCCTGGGATTCCAGGGTGGCACAGCAACCCATGGTGCTCTGGAGGCTCTCGCTGAATCTGTGTGTAGCTTAGAAGGTAAAACTGTGTCTTTTCACTGGTATGGAGCAGAGTCTCAGAAGGACAAGGGGATGGTCCTATAAGAAATTGATGCTGGGGCCGGCGCTGTGGCACAGCAGGTTAAAGTCTTGGCCTGCAGTACTGGCATCCCATATGGGTGCCACTTCATGTCCCAGCTGCTCCACTTCTGATCCAGCTCTCTGCTAAGTCCTGGAAAAGCAGTAGAAGATGGCCTGAGTCCTTGGGGCACTGCACCCATTTGGGAGACCCAGAAGAAGATTCTGGCTCCTGGCTTTGGATCAGCTCAGCACTGGCCATTGCAGTCATGGGGGAGTGAACCAGCTGTTGGAAGACCTCTCTCTCTCTCTCTCTCTGGCTCGACCTCTCTCTAACTTTTTCAAATAAAATAAATCTTTTTTAAAAAATAACTTAATGCTAATGGGTGCATTTGTTCTAACTTGGAAAGGAAATTTCATTCCTCTGCTTCAAGTCAGCTTGCACTTCAGGAAGGGCAGCATTTTGGTGCATTTGGAGAATCTTTAGGCTTCTTGCTTCTTCTCTGCTGGCCTCTGCCTTGTAAATTATCATGTAGCATCATTCTTTGCTCTGGTAGGATCCATATTTTTAAAATTTATTTGACAGATAGAGTTAGGGAGAGAGAGAGAAAGAGAAAGGTCTTCCTTCTGTTGGTTCACCCCTCAAATGGCCACCATGGCTGGAACTATGCCAGTCCAAAGCCAGGAGCCAGGTGCTTCTCCAGGTCTCCCATGCAGGTGCAGGCACCGAAGCACAATTTTTTGTCATTGTCTTGTTTCTTTAGTTATTAGGAATAAATTATTTTGTTAGGTTGAAATTAGCCTATTTGAATTAGTGTCAGATCTCATTTGCTGTGAAATAAAGAATTACTTTATGGATAATGAAAGCAATTTAATGATGTGGTGTAAAGGAGAAAACAGTATTAAGCTATTAACACCAGGGGACTTCTCGCTGACCTCTTACAGTGCCCTGCAGACTGTACATTATTGCACTCTTGAGGATCCAGGGGCTGAAGTCTGGCCTGAAGGTATTTTAGAGAATTCTCCATGTGGAAAAGTCATAAAAAAGCAGAGAAATATAATTAGCAATAAATGAGAAGGCAGAAGAGACTTCTAGAATTGAATGGACCACAAGGTTTGCTGGGATGTTTTGAGCAGTACAGCACTAGGTAGTCTGTACTGGGCACCAGAAACAATCACTACAGCCTTGTGAAATTAAAAACTCTATGAAGTTCTGCAGAATGGTGTTTGAGACTCACTAATAGGACTCAACCTACAAGGAATGCAGATGAGACAGCATCTCTGACCTTAACAGTGGTGGTCTTTACTTTCCTTTTATATTGCTGTAGCAACCTTAAAATGCCTTTTTTTAAAAACCTGAGGAAATGTATCTGGAAAGTCTTTTTGGTCATCTTTTGTTATCAGTAAATTCACCATCTGAAGTTTGTTATAACTTACTGAACCTGTGGTACTAGGAACTAGATAGAACTTTGCAGCATTAGACTACAATTTGCTGCTTGCTCAAAACCAAGGGAGTTGGAGCTTACCCAGCATAATTAGAAATGTACCCTCTATTTGAAGCCTTGGCAAGAACCATAATTTAGGATTGTGGCTGTGTGTCACTGGTAGAACGTGTTGTTCAGTCCTGAGTTTGGACACCTTGTTTGTATATGACAGAAAAATAGCTTTCAGAAACTTCCTGGTGGATAAAGTATCCTTTTCACAATCTGGTAGTTTCACTGCTTTTTTTTAAAGGTTTAATTTTCCCTTCAAGTGCAGGCATGTTCGTTTTATCAAAGCTGGCATTTTCTCTTCTTTAAAAATAAATCTTGAGTATTCTGAAGAAATTTTCCAAACCACTAGGGTATATAAAAGCATGTTGTGTGAGCATAATTACAAGGGGTGAAATGCTTTGCTTTTGAGTAGCAATGGACCAATACTTGGTGTGATAAGAAACATAGCTTTTATTCCATTTTATGGTTGAAAGCCTGCTTACTACTGCTCCTGATTGTAATCTTAGTCCTTTTTGTCAAATGGATTTAGAGCCCACAGCACCTTTTTATCCACCTTCTCTCTGAAAAGCAGTGGGAGATAGAGCAAATTTTTTAGATTTATTTATTTATTTGTGAAGTAGGTTACAGACAGAGAGAGAGGTCTTCCATCCACTGGTTCACTCCGTAAATGGTTGCAATGGCCAGAGCTGAACCGATTCCAAAGCTGGAGTGAGGAGCTTCTTCAAGGTCCCCTGCATGGTTTCAGGGGCCCAAGAATTAGGCTATCTTCTGCTGCTTTCCCAGGCCATAAGTCTCACTTTTAATTCTTCCTATGGCTTTAATTTAGCTACCTGGGAACCCTGAGCAGGGGATAGGACAAGTGTTCCCAGCCTCATTCTATGGGTCAGGAATAAATAAAGCCTCAAGTACTGGTTGCATTTGTTCATCTGGAACTTGATACCAGAGCCCAGAATTTTAGTTTCATAAATATTGAAGATTTTTGGCTCCAGAATTTAAAAGAAGTTCAGCATATTTACTTGTCATTGTTCTGAATGTGATTTACTTGTCCCTAAAGTGTGCACATTACACAATTTATGATTTAATAAGTGGAAGTTGAAAAAAAGAAAATGGAAGTTAGCCCTCAGTTCTGTTTGGAGATGTCCGAAACACTGGTGACAGTTGGGTGTGTCCTCTTACAGGTGCTTTCCCTGCCTTAAAGTGTGTGTGGGGGAGTGTGGGGGTATATTTGTGTGTGTACTGTGCTCACATGCACATAGAAATGACTTTGTGCAGAACTGTGTTCTTAATAGGATGGTTTTCCATGTTCCTTTTTATACTTGACAGTATAGTAATTTTTGTATCATTATAAACATACAGATCTAATTCTCTTCAGTGACTGTATAAGATTACATTTTATTCCAACACAAATGGTTGCTATTTTGTGTGATAATTCTGATTTTTTACCATTAAAATAATGCTGCAGTGAGAAACCTGGAATATCCATACCTGAGCATCCCTTGAACTGTTTTGATTACCTGCATTATCTGAGAATCACTAGGTCAAGTACATTCCTGTTTAAAATGTTGCTAGGTCCTTCTGAATTATCCTCCAGGATAGCATCTGTCTAGACTTCCACAACCAGTGTGGTAAATCTCCTGTGTTTTCCATCAACACTGGGTCTTTTATAATTCACATTCTTTTCAATGAAGCATCTCTGCTTCAACACAAGACATTTGGAAGGGAAGAGCTGTCCTTCCATCATTCCCTGTTGGCACACCAAGGGCAGGCGGTGTAGAGGAGTCCATTAAAGCTAACAGGGAGGTGAGCATCTGTTAAGCTAGAAACAAAGGTGTTTGGCTTCTATTCCTGTTTATTAATGCAGGTAGTGGTTATGGAAGGCTGTTACTGGCCAGGGACCCTGGGAATAGCATGATAAACAAGACCATGCTCTGCCTTCACGAGCTTGCATTCTAGACTGGGTCAGTCTTGAGCACTTCCAGTAGAATATAATGTCAAGTGTGGTGAAGACTTCAGATGAAAAATAAAGCAGAGAAAAGGACAAGGGAGGAGGTGTGTGGGGCGAGACCAGGTGCAGGAGAGGCTGCCACTCGGATGGTCTTGGAAGGTTCTCTGCTGATGGGACTCGTGAATAGAGACCCATGTGCAGTGAAGCCTGAGCCCCACTGATAACCTGCAGAAGGCCCCATCCTGCTGCAACTGGCAATAGCAAGCACAGAAGGCCTGAGAAAAGAGCCAGTCAGGCAGGTTCCAGAAGAAGCCCCAGAGCTGCACTGACTTTTGATTTGCTAGAGGAAGATAATTGAGCTACTTACTTTCTTTGTTGAATGCCGTGTTCAGGCGAATGAAACCTTGAACCACATATGTGAGTCTTTGAAGGAGTGAAGCTGTTCATGTACAGTAGCCCTTGAACTACTAGATCACAGCATTTAACCACTAGACAGCAAGTCAGCATTCTGCATAATGAAGTGGCATTGCATGCCAGCTCTTTCACTACCAGAAGGATGACTTTGTCAAAATATACACAGGAGTTGAACAGACCTCTGCACCTTCAGTGTGGAAAAGACTAGAGCAGTACACTCTTGTGCCTAACTGCCCTTCAGTCTGCCTCTTTGTGTTGGACATTATTAGATGTGCTTTCAAAGCTCTGGTGCTCACAGCTGAAAACAAAGTAGGTTGGTGGGCAGTCACAGACAGCACTGTCCAGTCACCAGGCCAGGTAGTTTCTCCTTAACCACTGTGCCAAATGCCCTACTCCACCCATTATTAACTCTAGTCCTTTCAGAGTTATTGGCTATGTTATAAAATTTCTAGCTTTCTGAGGGGTTTTGTAAATCTTTAAAGTAAAAAATAAGAACATGTGTTGCTGCCGTTGTGGCTTAGCTGGTAAAGCCGCACCCATGATACCAGCATCCCACATGGACACTGATTCAGAGTCTCAGCTACACTTCCAATCCAGCTGTCTGCTAATGCACTTGGGAGGGCAGCACAAGATAGCCCAAGTGCTTGGGCTCCTGCACCCCCGTTCCTGTCTCCTGGCTTTGTTCTCGCACAGTCCTGGCTGTTGTGGCCATTTGGGGAATGAACTAGTGTATGGAAGACCTCTCTCTTTCTCTGTCTCTCCCTCTCTTTATGTAACTCTGCCTTTAAAATAAATGAAATGTTTAAAAGAACCTTTATCCATTCAAAGAAAGCCTCAAGTAGAAAGAAAAAGAATCTTGCAGACCCACGGTGTAAACTGATCTAAAACCTTGACTGAAATTTTTGTTGAAGTTTGCTGATAGTGTTCTTCAGAAGTGACACATACTGACTGTGTGAAGTGAGCTGATTGATATTTTTGAAACTGTGTAAAAATTAATCTGCTGGTTTTTACATGATGTACCTGTTATACCCCTGAGCTACTCGAGAGCTGTTGGGTAGAGATGTTATTACTGCAAAGTGGTCACACTGCACAGCTCCCATGGGCACCATTACACTCTGTGACTGGCACTTCCAGGGCTAGTGCTGTGCACACCTGGGAAGTCTTACCCACAGGTGGTGTGGTATGCGCACAATGTCTACATGATGGTTCTCTCTTCGTTTAGATGGTTGGTAGGGTTCCATTAGTACACAGTCCCTCAACTTGTGACTTTTCAATTCAGTGTTGCTCACTAACAGTTGCGGCCCTGAGGGGTTGCCCACTTTTCCAGAGATAAGGACAGGCCTAACCTTGCCTCCTGGAACTTTCTCTGAGTTATAAACTTCTTAGAGTTATTATACAACCTTGACATTTTGTATTTAATGGTGTATTTTTAAGCAGAGGTATCTTATAAGCATAGTGCAGCAATCATAGACTTATTTTTATTATTCTTTTTTTTATTAAGGAGGAGGGAGTAAAGCATTGTTGGTCAGTGCACATGGTGCTTAATGTGGAGTCTGGAGGTGGAGATGGTGTTTTCTTACTTCTATAGTTTCTGATTTCCAACTATCTCCAAGAGGTAAACACTAGAATTAGGTCTAGGCTGTGGTTCTAGATGGTATGGCTCTGTTTTAAATTTCATCTCACAGCTGCTTGGCATCAAGATTTCCAGCTTTCCAAGGCTAGCCACACATTTAAAGCAAGCATCTAAACCAGTTGTTAGAGGAAAAGATACAGCCATGGTAACGATGACACTAAATGAATCATTTGTGTGATATCTGACACCTCATCAACTAGTTGAAATATCTATGTGTTTTCTTGTTTTCTGAAATAAAAATAATTCAGACTTACTGAAACTATACATTTCATTCCTTCCACATATGAGACAGTCTATTTTCTGACTCATTGGGCTTCTAAAATTCTGTGGTTAGGGGCTAGTGTTGTGGTGCAGTGGGTTAAGCCACCACCTGTAATGCCAACATCCCATACTTGTTTTCTTTCTGTAATCCAGTAGATGAAAAAAAGCCACCACTCCCAATACATGAGTCGTATAAAAACAATTTCACTTTATTTGAACACTCTAAGGAGAAAAAGCAGATGAGTATGCACTGTACCCAAAGAGAAAAACTGTCAAATTTTAGATCGAATGTTGGAATAAATTCCATGACAAAAGTGAAACAAACAATCGACTTGTGGCCCCACTGCACTGGAGCCTGGCTTCACTGCCTACTTGGGACAGACAGCAGGAGCTCAGGAGAAGCCTGGAGCCACACCCCCTGTGCAAGCCTGCACAGGCTTGGTCTTTGTTTTCTGATTGGTGGGAGCCTGGAGGTAATCCAATCAGACTTGATATATGCCATTGAATACTGAGTTTATAAAAAGGGTACTCAGTGCTGCTGTTTCCCTTTTCTCTTCTTGGTGTCCAGCGTTGTGGAGTTCTTCATTGGAACATGTGCTAAGCCATGGCCCTAAGAACAAGGAGGTGAGCAGCCAAGAGCAATACCTGCAGGGAGGGCCGGGATGCTGGTGTCAAAGGAGTGGCAGTGGATTCAACAGGACCCTCAGGTTTGTCCATCCTTGCCTGGTGAGTCTTCTTGAAATGCTTGTGCGTATCATTCATATATTTATATATTATAAATTTAATATCATATGTGCTAAATAGATTGTAAATTGTATATTGTAAAATGTATATGTACTCGGGGTATCACATACAGTTCCAGGAGGTGTGAGCCTACCTGGCTGAATTCTGATGCCAGGGTGGGTGAACCAGCAGCAGGTGAGTCACCTTCTTTTGGGTGGGTGATTTAGATGCCCAGCGACTGTGTTAATTTCCAGGTCTCTTGTTTCGTTTTCTGGATTTATAGTTTTACTTAGTGGATAGGAGCTGAGAAAATGGATCTGGTCATCCAGCAAGGAGGTTCCTGCTCACAGGCTTTGCTTCCTGGTTTTCCTAATTTGCTAAGATTGTTTATCTCAGTTTGCATTGAGGGTTCTCCAACACAGCAGTGATAGCATTAACTGGTACACCCAAAGCAATGGCTTAATAAGTGTCCTTCCCCCACTGAATTCTAATCCTGTCTCTGTGATATCCAGTGTTTCCCTAATTTTATGAAAAATTTCCTGAGGAATATATTCTTATATTGTAATGAATGCAGTTATAAGGGGAGACATATCATGTAAAATTTACATAGTCCAGTCATATTATTGCATTAACTAGGCATATGGGGACTCTGTTTATCATCAGAGGCACCTAGATCCAAGGATGGCACTGAAATTTTGAGAGGGAAGCATTACTTCCTAAGTATGTTTGTTTCAGTTATAAAACTATAATGTACTGAATAACTCAATACAGGTTCTTTTTACTTCTAAATTAGATTTTGAAGTATTTAAATCATTTGGATTATGATATTTTTAGACAATTTTTAGGTCTGAGAGGGCAGGGGCATTGTTTCTGCACAGTATCCACAATGGTTGCCATATAATTGGTTCTAAAACATCAGTTGATGAATTGAAATCTCTATTTGTCCCCGTGTTTCAAACAGCACAAAATTTCAAAATCCATAGGTATTGTGTTTTGTGGTTTGGTTCTTACAGTATGTGGTGAATTAAGTCTCACTTCCTTCTGGTTAGCAGTTCCTAGTGTTGACACCCAAGGATCGTTCCTTGATCCTCATCTTATGAGATGCTGACCAGTGACTACTCAGAAACATCCCTTTGGTGCACGTCCTCATGGATGTTCCAGTTTCCTCGTCATCTACTCTTGCTGTTCCTGTTAGTGCTGATTGTTCAAATCCAGAAGTTGAAATGACCCCATGTTAAGTGCAGGTGTTTATTCTCACTGGTCTTCCCATCCTAGACAGCCTTATCTCTATACCGTGTTTCAGGAAGGTCTTGGATTTTTCTCGCCTCATTAGCTAGACCTGCTTATATTGCCCATGGTTTTCTCGTTTTGGCTATTTTAGAGCTTGGTTCGGTGATTCCATAATTCTTTGCCCTCACACACAACAAGCCAAGAAAAATATGTTCTGTTGTTTTCTCATGCTCCCAATCCACAATGTTCTCTGATAACAATCACCAGGCATCTTAAAGGCTGGCTGGTCCCTACACCCTTCTCAAAGCCACATGAATATGTGATTCTTTTGATTTTTGTTTTTATGTCTCAATTCCATTACATTTTCCACACCTCTGCTCCTGTGACCACCATAGAACTTGAGCATCTCCCACAAAAATCCTAGGCTAGCAATTTCTAGTGTACTACTAATAAGAAGTTCAAATATAGAAACTTTCTGGGGAGATTCCAAAATTAGATTGGTTTATGCCAGATATCTTAAGATGCTTTCCCTCTGTTTAACTAAAGTCAGATCTATGGGGGAAAAATAGATGGAGAGTTCGCTACAAACAATGTCTTTGTTTCACCTTTATAAAATTTTGTTTGTGAGTTATGTAGGCCTCAATAATTATGAATGGGAAAACTAAAACTGTGACTTGCAGTTCAGTATTGCAAATATTGTAAAGTTTTCTACTGAAGTGCTGTGGTGAGAGAACAGGCATGGAGTCCAGGAAATCCTTCAATGAATTGGTATATGTGTAGTTTTCAGAGTGCTTCTTTCAAAGAGATTTAAACTTTGTTAACATTTTCTTACATATGATGTTACATTTAAAATTGCTGCTTCAACAAACACTGAGCTCTATGTGATTGGTAACCCCTCCTACACTAATGAATCACCTTGCTTGATTTTCCCACCTGATTACTGTGGAAGATGACATGTGAGTGTCAAATGGGGAAAGAAAGATTTTTTTAAGATTTATTTAACTATTTGAAAGGCAGAGATACAGAGAGGCAGGGGCAGAAAGAGAGAAAGAGAGAGGTCTTCGGTCTGCTGTTTCACTCCCCATAGGGCCACAATGGCCAGAGCTGAGCTGATATGTATCCAGGAGCCCAGAGCTTCTTCTGGGTCTCTCACATGGGTGCAGGGGCCCAAGCACTTGGCCCATCTTCCACTTTCCTAGGCCATATCAGGGAGCTGGGTCGGAAGTGGAGCAGTGGGGACTCAAACCAGCGCTGTTATGAGACGCCAGCACTGCAAGCAGAAGCATGTAGTAGTTTATAATTCTCATTTCACTTTTCACTTTCCTGGTTTCCTTCAGATACACTTCCTTTCATTTTCTATTTCTGAATTTTCAATTTGACGGAGGTGAGGTGACAGTGTAATATGTTACTTGGATATTGTCTTAAGTATTCTCTTGATAGAATTCCTGAATCTTTATTTTCAAGAAACCACCTGTAATTTAGTTTAGTCAAGTTCATGAATAGTTTCTTAAGATTTATTTATTTTGGCTGGCACCGCAGCTCAATAGGCTAATCCTCGCCTGCAGCTCCAGCACACCAGGTTCTAGTCCCGGTCGGGGCGCCGGATTCTGTTCAGGTTGCCCCTCTCCCAGGTCAGCTCTCTGCTATGGCCCAGAGTGCAGCGGAGGATGGCCCAAGTGCTTGGGCCCTGCACCCCATGGGAGACCAGGAGAAGCACCTGGCTCCTGGCTTCAGATCAGCATGGTGCGCCTGGCTGTAGCGCACCAGCCACGGCGGCCATTGGAGGGTGAAGCAACGGCAAAAGGAAGACCTTTCTCTCTGTCTCTCTCTCTCACTGTCCACTCTGCCTGTAAAAAAAAGAGATTTATTTATTTTAAAGTCAAAGTTACACAGAGAGAGAAGGAGAGGCAGAGAGACAGAGAGGTCTTCCACCTGCTGGATCACACTGCAGATGGTGGCAATGTCAAGAACTGCGCTGATCTGAAGCCAGGAGCCAGGAGCTTCTCCAGGTCTCCCATGTGGGTGCAAGGGCCCAAGGACTTGGGCCATCCTTTACTGCTTTCCGAAGCCATAGCAGAGAGCTGCATTGCAAATGGAGCAACCGGGACTTGAACTGGTCCCCATATGGGATGCCGGCACTGCATTTGGTGGCCTCACCTGCTACACCACAGTGCCAGCCCAAATCCTGAATATCTTAAAAATCATTTCTGTCCCATGAAGCCTACCAAAACCCCACAATATTAATCTAAGTTCCTTAATTTTTATTTGCATTTTAAGTATAGGAACCTATTTTTGCATGTTGTATTTTTCTAGCCTAATTACAGTATAACTGAGAAACAAAAATAGTATATATTCAAGGCACGCAGTCTGTGTTACTATATGCATCTGATCTTTATACTGCATTTTCACACAAACCTTTTGACTTTCCTGGTACTTACAAAACACTAGGAAAGGATTAGTACAATGAAGTTACTTAACAAATTTATCACTCTTTTTTTAATTTTTTTTTTTTGACAGGGAGAGTGGACAATGAGAGAGAGAGACAGACAGAAAGGTCTTCCTTTGCCGTTGGTTCACCCTCCAATGGCCTCCGCGGCCAGCACGCTGTGGCCGGCACACAGCGCTGATCCGATGGCAGGAGCCAGGTACTCATCCTGGTCTCCCATGGGGTTTAGGGCCCAAGCACTTGGGCCATCCTCCACTGCACTCCCTGGCCACAGCAGAGAGCTGGCCTGGAAGAGGGGCAACTGGGACAGAATCCGGCGCCCCGACCAGGACTAGAACCCGGTGTGCCGGCGCTGCAAGGCAGAGGATTAGCCTAGTGAGCTGTGGCGCCAGCCACAAATTTATCACTCTTATAGTGTTTTTTAAACTTACCTCATTTTATTATGTATTTTCCCAGAAAGCTTTTATTTAAGGTATATATATTTTATGCCTTCAATAAATACAGCTTTCACAGCATAGTAATTCTTGCTACCATACCCGCCCTCTCACTTATACTCCTGCCATTATATAGTGTTTTTTTTTTTTTTTAAGAATACTGACCTAGGAAATTACAAATGCAGAATATGGTGTGAACTGGTTACCTGGAGTATATATTAGATTTTAAAAACCTTATCTCATAATTGTAAATTTTATTTTTTAAGCTTTATTTGAAAGGCAGGGGCTGGCGCCATGGCTCACTTGGTTAATCCTCTGCCCAGGATGTCAGCATCCCGTATGGGTGCTGGGTTCTAGTCCTGGTTGCTCCTCTTCCAGTCCAGCTCTCTGCTGTGGCCCGGGAGGCCAGTGGAGGGTGGCCCAAGAGCTTGGGCCCCTGCACCTGCATGGGAGACCAGGAGGAAGCACCTGGCTCCTGGTGTCGGGTCGGTGTATCGCCAGCTGTAGAGGCCATTTGGGGAGTGAACCAATGGAAGGAAGACCTTTCTCTCTCTCTCTCACTGTCTATAACTCTACCTATCAAATAAAAAATAGAAAAGCAAGAAAGAGAGAAGGAGAGTAAGACAGAGTCAGAGAGAGTGAGAGAGAGGATGAAGGATATCTCATCTCATGCATTATTTCACTCCTTAAATGTCCTCAGTGGCAGGGCTGGGCCCCAGGTCACCCACTTTGGCATAGGGGCCAAGTCGTGGGGTCATCTTCTAGTGCTTTCCCAGGCACATTAGCAGGGAGGTGAATGGGAAGTGGAGCAGCTGGGACTCGGTCTGGTTCCCATATGGGATGCTGGCAGTCCAGGTGGAGGCCCAAGCTTTTACACCCCAGCTCCAGTACTATAACCATATATTTGTATCGTTTGACTAACATCTCTTCATTTTCACGGTCCCAGTTCATCACAAACACCATCCTGCTCCCTGACTGTATTAGTTTGACTTTTGTATATTCCACATGTAAGTGTGCTCATGTAGTATTTCTTATTTCTGTGTCTTGTTTCACTCACTGTTATGTCCTATAGTTCCATACTTTTGGATCCATCTTGTGACAAGTAGTAGTGTTTCCTTTCTTTTTAAGGTTTGGTGAGGATGCCACTGTGTGTGTATCCCATTTTTCCTTATGCATCCATCGACAAACATTTGGGTAATTTCCATATCATGGAATTGTGAATGATGCTGAAGTGAATGTGGGGGTGCAGACAATTCTTTGAGATGGTGATTTTCTTTTGGATTCATGGCCAATAAAGGTTATTCCTTTTTTAATTTCATTTGAGGAACTTCCATATTGCTTTTCATAGTGGATGGTACAATTTACATTCCCTCCAATACTGTGTGTTCCATGTTCTCTACATTGTGCCCAATACTTGTTATCTTTTAACTTTTTAATAGTAGCCATTTAGCCGGTGCTGTGGCTCACTAGGCTAATCCTCCACCTTGTGGCGCCGGCACACCGGGTTCTAGTCCCGGTTGGGGCGCCGGATTCTGTCCCGGTTGCCCCTCTTCCAGGCCAGCTCTCTGCTGTGGCCAGGGAGTGCAGGGGAGGATGGCCCAAGTGCTTGGGCCCTGCACCCCATGGGAGACCAGGATGAGTACCTGGCTCCTGCCATTGGATCAGCGCAGTGCTCTGGCTGCAGCGCACCAGCCACGGCGGCCATTGGAGGGTGAACCAATGGCAAAAGGAAGACCTTTCTGTCTGTCTCTCTCACTCACTGTCCACTCTGCCTGTCAAAAAAATTAAAAAAAAATAGTAGCCATTTAACAGTTAAGAGGGAATAACCATTGTCATCCTGATTTGCATTTTGCTGATGATAGCAATGTTCAGAACTTTTTCACATACCCACTGGGTACATTGTCTGTTTTTGTTGGAAAACATTGATTCAGTCCTTTGTCCTTTTTAAATAGTATTCTTTGTTTCTTAGTGGTATGCTTGTATTATTCCCTTGATCACACATCTGGTTTGCTAATATTTTCTCCTATTCTTTGGTTTGTCCTTTCATTTCATTGATCTTTGCTTTACTGCTTTTTGTTGTAGTTTCATTTCCTTATATTTGCTTTTGCTCTCTGTGCTTTAGTTGTTAACACGTAAGCAACCACTCTTGAGGCTAATGTCAAGGATTTTTCTATTTCATAAGTTGTAAGTGTTCAGATCTTCTGTGTGGACTTTTATTCATTTTGAGTTGATTTTAATATGTGGTGTAACAATGATGCAGTTTCAGTTTTGGGCATGTGGTTATCCAGGTTGCTTCTGCCTCAGATGTGGGCCTTTATGTCCAGTGACTGCATGTTTGGTAACCCTGGTGGGCCAGGGTTCCCTGTATCTTCAGTTGGATCCATTAAACCAGATGCTGTGGCTGGAGTTGAGCAGGAGCTTGGCATGTGTGGTGATTTGGGAGTAGGAAACCATATAGGTATGGAGTCAAGACGGGGGACTGTCCTCCTCCTCTGGAAGCCAGGGCTATATGAGAGTATGTTAGAAAGTTTTTTGAAGGGTGGTGCTCAGGATACCAGTGGCAGCCAGTGATGGCTTAAGTAGTTGGATTCTTGCTACCACATTGGAGACCATCTCCCAGCTTCAGCCTGGGTCAGATCAGCCCTGAGTATGGTGGGCATTTGGGTAATGAACTACTAGATGGGTGGTGTCTTTCTCTCTCTCTCTCACTCTCTCTCTCTTCCTCCCTCCCCCTTATTGATTCTCTGTGTTTTGCTTTTGAAACCAACTGCAATATTAAAACTAGGTGTAAAAATGGATACGGATGATTATCCCAGGAGCAGTAGATTACTGAGTAATTTTCTAGAATCATACAGGTGAATGTGTGTAGCTCACAGTGATCTGTTATATCTGTTATTAGAAAATGAAATAAAGGAGCTCAAGGCTCTGTTCATAAAATAATGTCAAAAGATAAATGTAGACTTGCTCAGTATAAATTTTATATGAATATTGAAATGTCATAGTAGCCCATAAATATATTCAACTCTTGTTGATAAAATTTAAGTGAAAATACCAACATGTTACTTGGTGTATAAA